TGCTAAATTGTAGCAGCACCAGTTACTGAAGAGTGTGTCCTTTCGCCAGTTTTATCATAGATCAGTTGACTTTATCATAGAAAAAGTCCTCCTTTATCATAGATCAGTTGACTATAGGTGCTGGAGGAACCAGGCTCCTTGACCTCAGACTGTATACTACAAGGCTATAATAATCAAAACAGTATTACATTGACACAAAAACAGATATATAGATCATTGGAATAGGACAGAAAGTCATGAAATATGTCTTTCTTATTGTATCTAAATTTTTGACTTGATGTACTCTCTCAGTGGTGACAATTTAAATCTCTGGATGTCTGATATTACCTATTTTATTGAATTTTTTTTAATTTCTAAGATTTAATTAAAATAAATTTTTACATGCATTATATATGGTGTCTGCCATCAAGTAGAATGTTAAGTACTTTAAATATTTTATCTCAAAACAACCCCAAGTGACATAATAATCCTTAGTTAGCAGAGGATGTAATAGAAGTTTAGAGAAATTAACTGAATTATATCAACTCAAACTATTAGTAAGAAGTGAAACTAGAATTTTATTCAAAGGAGTTTTATTGCAAAATGAAACTGAAATTCTTTTTTGTTATGCTATACTGCAGCAGTTTTTATTGACCTAATTGTACGTTGTGAGCTCCATGAAGGCAGGAACCATATTGTATGTGCTCAATTTATAAACTGTACTCACCTTCAAGGAGCGAGTACTAAATAAAGATATATTAAGTTCATAAATGAGCTAACAAGCCCACTCTTGGCAAAATGCATTTAATCAATAAGATATTAACTTTCAGAGGTGATTTGGCATCATTTTAAAAGGAAGAGTAAGTCTGTCTCCTTTGATGATGATTTATGTAGTAAAGCTTGGCAGTTAGGTGTTCTTTGGAGGAACAGGGATCAAGTATTTCAAGAGTTTCTGCTGTCTTTCTACATCCACAGTCACCACCTATGCTCAGGCTGTTACCTTTTCTTCCTCTTGGTAAGGGTTATATATACATGAAGTTGTATGTCCATTAACAGTTAACTATCTGATATAATTTGAAATTCACTGTGGACATCTAAAGTAAGACAACCCTGAGATAGTACTATCATGAAACTTAAAATCCAGGAAATTTGTTTGGAATTTTCATAAGAAAACCTATTCAAAATTCTTCTGTACCTGATAGACATTCTGTGCATTGTATTTAGACATAGCATGCATGATTAAAACAAGAACCAGATTATATACTTATTTTTTAGAGTGTAGACTAGAAAAGGGGCAAGCCTACCACTGTAGTTTAGTTAAATTTATTATTATTCAGTAGTTATCAGTGACTCACACAATGTTGCCTTTGGTTTAATTAGTGGTGATACAAACAGAGTAGGCAATTTATATTTTTAAGAAATTCATAATGTATCTGAGTGAATAAGTCATATTAGCATTGCCTAAATTGTGATTATCTTATTTGGGAGCATCTTAAGATTCAATACTTAAATACCAACTGTTCCTGCTGATGTGGCCACTGAGTTGTGATGGACCTAGGTTTCAACTGCTGACTGCTTCAGGGACCTTGTGTTTCTCTACCATTTCTTTCTTTCTAGCATGTATCATATTCTCAGTTTTCTCCAGAATCTCTCTGTATTTCACCTTATAATATTGCTTCCTAATTAACACAATTTCAGGAATCAGAAAAATAAGCACAGCTTCACCATTCACTAGTGTGACCTTAAATGTTGCATAACTTTTTTAGAACCAATTTTTTAAAATGAGAGTAATAACAAATATTTTATAGAATAATATATGAGGTAATGAAAGAAAGAATTCCACTTTGGGTTATGATGGAGCAGCTTAAAACCTTAACCTTCCTGCTAAGAACAATTACACAAATTAAAGGAAATAAAAAGAAACAGCATATGAAGACATTGAAGAGCAACATAGGCATCCAGGATTGAGAGGCCCAGTTTTCAGAGAAGGTATAGAACCGCAAAGAAATTTGTCCAATATTATGTATGACTTCCCCTCAATGAGTTTGCCTCTTTCTAAATTGCACAAAGCAGCAGTATGAAAACCAAGGAAAAAGGAGAAGGTAAGTTGAGATGTTAGCCTTATAACTGGAATTCAGATTTCCCAAAAAGAGGGGCTGTGTAGATACTCCGGCTTTCAGTTGAAGACTCTGAAGAACTAAGCCATAGGACACATCAAAATAAAGCAGGGCTTTACAAGAGTAAACCTCGGTCATGAAAAATTGCCATTCCTGGTTGTATTCAGGTACTTGCACCTCCAGTCTAACTTCCTGTCAAGAACAAAACTAATTCATGTCTGGAAAAAGATTGCCCCATCCTGCATCTCTCTCATTTTCAATATGAAATGTCTCGCATTCAATAAAAGGTTGCCAGGTTCACAATGAAACAAAGGAATATCTTCAGGTGGAACAAAAATAAACTCAGAAGTGTGAAAATACAGGAGGAGATGAAGAACACAAGAAAGGGCAAATGTATAAAAACACTAAATGAATACTAGAAACCTAAAACAACAACGATAATGTGTTTTGGAGTTTTAAATATGTAAAATTTAAATATGATAGCAATACCACAAAAGGTATGAAGGGCTAAATGATATATGAGTTTTTAAGGTATTTTGTCTGGAAAGTGGAAAAACATGAATGTATGATAAATGCTAATAAGTTAATAATGCATAGTAGCATATATAGAGTAATTAAAAATAATTTAAAATGCATAACAAGTGACAAAATGAAAATGGAAAAATCAGTGAGTAAAACAATAATAGATTAATTTTCAAATGGCAAGAAAAGTAACATGAGATAGTTGACTTAAATAGAAAATAGTGAGTAGAATGATTTATCTAAGCCCAAATATTTAAGTGGTCATATGCATCTTCATGGACTAAATATTCCATTTAAAATATTAAGTTTGTCAGGTCAGAGTTAAATCATGCAATGCTACTTACAAGAGACACAGTTTAAATAACATGAACACAGATAAAAATTAAATACATTAGAAAGTATATTGTGTAAATCCTCAACAAATGAGAACTAATATCAAACAATGTAAAATTTAAAAAAAGAATTACCAGAGCTTAAGTGGAACATTTCATTGTGCTAAATCACAATCTACATACATACACTCACAAAATTAACATAACTCCAAAGTACAGAATGAGCAAAAGAACCTGGCAAAAGGAAAGAAGAACTAGTCAGATCAATTATCATTATTAAAAATTTTTAATATATCTCAATAATAGAACAAAAACAGTAATAAGAGCAAAGCTTTTACAACACATATTACAAAATTGATCACATGCATATAAACAGCACTGAAACATGTTTTAAGTCTACATGGAATATTTATCAGTATTTACCAACTGATGTCATTTAATCAATTTACAACAAATATCAAGTTTTAAATCATACAGAATAGTTTTTTTTAAACTAGGCAGAATTATATAAAAATTAATAAAACCAAAAATTTTAAATTAACTTTACAATCCTTAAATATTTAGAAATTAATCAGAACACATCTGAATAACTAAAACTTCCAAGAAGAAATAAAAATAGAAATTAGGAAATATTTTTAAATACTTTGTGATGACAGTACTCATCAAATCTTATGGGATGTAGTTTAAAAAGCCCTTAACAGAAAAATTAGTCTTGAATGCATAAATTAGAAAAGAACACCTCAGCATATGAAGAAAGATCTCACACAATAATCCAATGGGATTTACACCTGGAACGCAAGATTAGTTCAACATATGAAAATCAATCAAAGTGATATATCACATTAATAAAGGAAAAGATAATTTTATGTGATCATTTCAGTAGATGCATACAAAATACTTGATAAAATTCAACTCCCTTTCATGATTAAAAAAAAAATCACTCAACAATTGTGGGGGAAAATGGAATTTCTTTGACTTAAAAATGGACTTCTATGAAAAATCCATGCTATCATCAGACTTAAGTGTGAATATCTGAAAGCTTTCCTTCTGGAATCAGGAACAGGACACAGATGTTTATTCTCACTGCTTCTATTCAACTTGGAACTGGAGGTTCTAAACATATCAGTTAGCAAGGGGATAAAAGGTGATTCAGATCCAAAAAGAATAAGTAAAAGTCACTATTTGCAAATAACATCATTTCATGCATAGAGAACCCTAGAAGAATCCACAAAAAACTATTAGCACTAATAAATGACTCAGAAAAGATACAGATACAGATCAATAGACAGTTCAGTTCAGTTGCTCAGTCACGTCCGACTCTTTGCGACCCCATGAATGGCAACACACCAGGCGTCCCTGTCCGTCACCAATTCCGGGACTTTACTCAAATTCATGTCCATCAAGTCGGTGATGCCATCCAGCCATCTCATCCTCTGTCGGCCCCTTCTCCTCCTGCCCCCAATCCCTCCCAGCATCAGGGTGTTTTCCAATGAGTCAACTCTTCACATGAGGTGGCCAAAGTATTGGAGTTTCAGCTTCATCAGTCCTTCCAATGAACACCCAGGACTGATCTCCTTTAGGATGGACTGGTTGGATCTCCTTGCAGTCCAAGGGACTCTCAAGAGTCTTGTCCAGGACCACCGTTCAAAAGCATCAATTTTTTGGCACTCAGCTTTCTTCACAGTCCAACTCTCACATCCATACATGACCACTGGAAAAACCATAGCCAAAAAGTTGTTATATTCTTATGGAAATAATGAATCTGGAACTTGTATTAAAATATATACAGAACTCTTACAAGTCAATAATAAAAAGACAACTAGCCCAGAAATGGTCAAAGAATTTGAAAAGTCATTTCTTTAGAGAAGATCTATAAATGGCCAATCAACACACACAAAAAAACCTGAAAGGTAAAGGTATCAAACTAGAAGAAATAAAACTATTTGTTCGGACAACATAATAGTGTACATAGACAATCAAAATGAGCCTACAGATAAATTTTTTTTTTTTTTTTAAGAAGTCAACACACCTTTATTAAACGACTGCAAAGTTACTGGGAGGAGGCCATGATGCTGGACACACTGTCAAAGTCAATCTTCTCCACGATGTTCTTGGGCTTAATGCTCTCCTCCTGGCTGCAGATGAAGATCTGGCCTGACTCATTGGCACTCCAGCCGTACTTGCTCATCCACACCTTTAGCTGGCTGGCTGTCAGATCCCCGAGCATCTCAGCCAGAAGCCAGCGATCGATGTGTTGATACGTGAGGCCCACAACATGGCAAATAAATTTTCGGACAGAGTCTTCAAAGCCAGTTATACCTTCCAGGAGGTCCATGTTTTCATCCAGGGCTTGCCAGAAGGCCTGGAAGTGGCAGGTCTCCAGCAGGTCTCCGAGGTACAAAATCTGCCGGATGGGCCTTTCTTCTTGATGGGCCTGGTCGATCATGCACTTGCACAGCGTGAAGTCGGTGTGGGGCAGGTTGGTGAGGGCCTTCAGCAGGATCTGGGCGGTGACCGTGGTCTGGAAGAAGGCTGGGTTGAACTGGTACAGTTTCAGGACAGCCAGGTTGGCTTCCAGATCATAGGCATTCTCCTTGGCCTGTGTCTCCACATAGCGCTCCAGGGTGGCCAGATTCTCAGGGTTGTACCTGTCGATCCCCTTGAGCAATTTGCCCACGTTCGCTCTCATCTGCTCAAACATCGCCATGATGGCTGCCACCTCCCACACCAGGGCTACAGCCGAAGACCTGGCCGGCCGAGCCTACAGATAAATTATAAGAATAAGTTCATGTAGCAACATTCAAGATAGAAGATAAATAAAACTTTCCAGTTTCTTTAAAGGGCTGCAATTAATAATTCCATTAAAAAAATCAAGTGCTGTGCTCAGTCACATTCAACTCTTTGTGACCTATGGACTATAGCCAGCCATAATCCTCTGTCCATGGCATTCTCCAGGCAAGAATACTGGAGTGGGCTGCCATGCCCTCCTCCAGGGGATCTTCCCAACCCAGGAAATCAAGTACCTAAGGATAAATTTAATAAAAGTTGTGAATGGCCTCTGCATAGAGAATGCAAAACATTATTGAGGTGAGAAAACAGATTCCTTCCCCAAATATGGGAGGTATCGTGCACATGCAGTGGAAAAATTGATGTAACAACAATGTCAGTTTTTCCTTAGTGAATTATCATTTCAGTGCAATCTGAAGCAGTATCAGTTTGTCAAAATCAATAAGCTGGTTTGAAAATGTATAGCTGAGACAGTCTTTAAGAAAAATTAAATTGGAGGTCCTAATTGCTGAATACACTTTTTATAAAACACAGCAATTAACCCAATGTATTAACAGAAATGTACAAAGAGACTATCAGAACAGAAAAATAGAAAACACTGGTGAACTTATAACAAAGAAAGCAGTTCACTGCAGTGGCAGAAAGACTAAACTGAATACTTTAATAGACAGGATAATACCTCCCCAAATATGTTCACATCCTAATCTCCAGAATTTGTGACTATGTTATCATGCATGGCAAAGAGGAATTAATCTTGCAGGTGAGATTAGCTTGCTAATCAGCTGATCTTAAAATAGGGAGATTATCCCAAATTTTACAGATGGACCCAAAGTAATTCTGGTGGTCATTTAGTCGCTCAGTCGTGTTCAACTCTTATGATCCATGGACTGTAGCCAGCTAGGCTCCTCTGTCCATGGGATTTCCCACGCAAGAATACTGGAGTGGGTTGCCATTTCTTTTTCCGGGGTGTCTTCCAGACTCAGGAATCAAAACTGGGTCTTCTGCATTGCAGGCAGATTCTTTACTGACTGAACTATGGGGGAAGGCCCTAGAGTAATTGAAAGAGTTCTTAAAAGTAGGAGGAGGAAGAAGAGCAGGTCAGAGTCAGAGTATGATTCAGCTACAGAATTTGTTTCATTATTGCTGGCTTCGAAAATGGAAGAAGCGGATGAGCCAAGAAATGTGAATGACTTCTAGAGTCATTTCATTCAGAGATGAAAAAGGCAAGAAAATGGATTTTCCCCTAGAAAATACCAGAAGAAAATACCGCCCTGCAACCACTTGATTTTAGCTGGGTGAGACTCATGTCAGACTTCTGACCTAAGTAGTTACAAGATAATAAGCTGTGTTGTTCTAAGCCATCAAGCTTGTGATAATGTATTAAAGTAACAATATAAAAGTAACACAAGTTCCAGTATGGAAAAGTATGAACTCTAGCCCCTGACATCACACCATGAACAAAAATAGATACCAGAAATTTGCCTATCTAAGTGAGAAAAGGTAGACGAATGAAGAGATAAAGAAATAGAAAAGGAAGGAAGAAAGTTTCCAAAGGAAATGCTGCAAAACATCTTCATAACCTTGGTGTATACAAAATTTCTTAAACAGGGAAAAACTGTACAAGGCAAAGATAGTAGCCAATGGTTCTATTTTTAACATAATGAAGCTTACATAAATAAACATGTAATGGGAATTCTTTCTTAATGATGATAGATACCAGGAGCAAAATGAAATGCAAGCTATGAAGTAGAAAAAAATAATTCCCTGGACTCATACCCAGGTTACTTTAAAAAATTCTATAAATCAACACGCAACAGACAGACAACTCAATACAAAAATCAAAAAGACTTGGGCAGACACTTCATCAGAGAGGCCACATTTGTCCAGCAATAAAATGAACATATGGCAACTGCATACAAAATCACAGATGGCTGTCACACACAACATGGAAAAGAAGCCAGGCACAAAAGAGTGCATACTGTGTGCTTGCATTTATATAACGTTCAAAAGCAAGTCTAATTACCCTATGGTTTTAGAAGTCAGGACAGTGCTTACCCAGGGCACAGAGTTTTTGACTGGAAGGGTGACTGAGGAAGGCTTCTTCGAGTAAATGTCTGCCTGTTTCTCTAGATGCTTGTTACACACCAGGTGTGTTCAAATTATAAAAATGTGTCAAGGTGAACACTTACAATTTGTGCATTTAATAATATGTATATTATCCTTTGATAGAAAATTTGACCATAAACAAGAGCAAACCAACTAACAGAAATACTAGTACTTAGTTTAAGAAAAACACTTACCTGTCTCTTATTAATCCCTCAATAGGTGGTAGCTATTAAATTACTTTTTTTTTTTTGGCCTTTTTTTCCTCCTACTTTTTGCTAATATATTGGGGGGTGGGGGGAAACCCTCTCTCATTTTGCTACTCCACATTCATCCAGACATGAAAAAGACTAGTATTATGCGTAATTATGAATGTGTGCTGTAAAGTTCTAAAATGCATTTAAGTGTTTAGATATCCCCTTCATAATCTCTATAAAAGTATCTATTTCCTGCACTTCCTCTAATTAAATTCATTTTTCTTCAAGTATCAGTAATCAGAATTTTAAAAAGATATTCTGATTACATGTCATTGTATTAACTTTCAACTTCTAGTACCTACTTGTTTAACAGTGTTTTCTACAATTTTACTGTATAGATAAGTTACTATACTATACATATATACACATTCACACATGCACACCCACATGCCTTGAATACATATAGGCATGTATACATACTGTGTGTGTATATAGTATTCCTAATACAGTTCAGATTCGATATTTTTTTTTATCAGAATGTACCTTCTAAAATTGTATTCACTGAAAAATATATTCTATGTTTTAAAGTATGTACTACAAAATGAACTTTATGAATGTACCAATTTATCTAAAAAAAACAGGTTCTAGACAGGCACATAAAAATGTGGTTGATTGTTCTCAGTTATTTACTATGTGTACTATTTTACTATATATCCATAATTTTTCTTTAAAAATTGTTCCAGGAAGGACCAGGGCAAGTATTATGCTTTATATTTTACACATGTGGAAAGTGAGGCTCAGTAAAGTTACATGATTGTCTCAAGTTAAATTAGCTTCAGATTCAAGGATAAAACAAAAACCAGAAAGCCCAGGTCTTCTTTTTTCTAGTTAAATCCGTTCTTTTTGTCCCCTGGACTCTAATCTCCCTCTCCCACTCAACTCAACCAGCTCCTCTCTACTCTTTTGGGCACATCTTGTACTCAGAATAAGGAAGGCTCATGTGGGTGCTAAGACTATATAGAGAAGTTGATAACGGTACAGGGGAGTCTTAAGAATATAAGCTCTGGAGCACAGTTAGGGTTTGGATTGGTGTTGAGCAGAGAGAAGAGCCATGTTGATGGGGATGGTACCACCAAACAGGTGATTAGCAGCTGGTGATGAGCAAACTGAACTTAGAATGGACCGACAGTGTTAAGATGGGAAGAGAGAGGTGAAGTTAGAAACAATTACAAATAATTCACCCAGCACTGCAGTATTTCTACCCAGAGAATCAGAGTTAATTAATGAAACACTCCAGCAGTCTATTGGACTTTAAGGGTTTTACGGGTTTTTGTTTCCTGTTTAGCTCAGTTAGGAATAAAGGAGAAGGAAGTCTCCCCAGATGGGAATTTGCCTCATAGAGCAAAATCTTGAGCATATTTCAAATGATAAATGTTTATCTTGACCCCCATTCAAATCTCTTTAGTGCAGTTTGCCTTAGTAAATATATTTTCATATATTTTTTAAAAATTATTAGAATATAGTTGCTTTAAAATCTTTTAAATTCCTCTGTGCAGCAAAGTGTATCAGACATATGTATACACACATCCCCTCTTTTTTGTATCTCCTTCTCTTTTAGGTCACCCCAAAACACTAAGTTCCCTGTGCTATACAGTAGATTCTCATTAATTATCTATTTTACAATAGTAGTGTGTATCCCAGTCTCCCAATTCATCCCACACCGGATTCCACCCTTGATGTACATACATTTGTTCTCAATTTCTGTGTCTCTATTTCTGCTTTGCAAATAGCTTTATCTGTACTGTTTTTCTAGATACCACATATATGCATTAATATATAATATTTGTTTTTCTCTTTCTGATTTAAGTCACTCTGTATGACAGTTTCTAGGTCCATCCATGTCTTGGTAAATATGTTTTTAAAACTTTCACTCAAAATAGTTTCATGATTAAAAGACTGTTCTGTGTAGAGAGAGAAAAGCATACAAAAATTGTTCTTTACAGGGCAGGGATGGGAGAGGAAAATACAAGAAAAATACTCTAACTTTGTTACAGTTCTTTTAAAAGTCATTCTGGCATTCCCTTTCTTCTATTTCTGAATTTGAACTTACACTCAGTCCTGTCATTTTCCATCCTGAATATATTGTGACTCCAGTTTTGTTCCAGTTATCACTTTGACTATATCTTGCTATTAGTCCAGGGTTTGCTTTCTTACCACTCTCCAATCTGTTTAGATAGTGATAGATTACTTACCTTTCAGATTGGCAAAGATCCAAAAATCAGACATTTTTTTCAAGAAAAAGAAAACAAAACCAAGTTATGTTATATATTGTTAGAATGCAAACTGTTACATTACCTATGGAGAACTTAGTGGTAATATCTAGGAACACCTCTTATACATGTTTTACCTGGCAATCCACCTCTATTATTCTATCCTTAAGTTATTCAAGCCAAAAGGATGAAAAAAATATATGAATCAGGCTGTGAATTGTAGTACTATACAACTGCAAGACTGGAAACCACCCATGTGTCCATCTGTAGAAGACTTGTTGAATAAACAGTGATTCATTTATCCTTTGGGATACTGTAAAAAGGACAAGACATATCTCTGTATACTACCA